CCAAGCTCTGCAACCGGTTTCACGTTGAATTCTGCATCATTTTCTCTTTCTCTCCTTATTCACTCATTAATTTCCACAGGTTTTCATTTCCCACAGCCCGAGCCCTGCTGAGACCACTCTGCAGACATGGGATTGCACACCACAGCCCTTCCATCCGCAGGGAAAGGTCAGGGATGGAGGTTTAGTGCACTGAGAAGAAAGGCAGCAGCAGACAGACAGAATGCTCATAAAGACCTGGCTGTGAGCTGCGCTGAGAAAATGTCAGGCTGGGGAGGTTGTAATAGCTTTAATCTGCAGTACAAGGGGATTAAAAGACTCGTTCTCACAGGACAAAAAAGAAAGGAGCAGAGCGGAAGGAGCCAAACAAGAGGAGAATGAAGGCTGCAAGGGGAGGAAAGGAGAAAGTTAAAGAGCTCAGCTATAAAGAGCATCGCGACTCAAAGAGCCCCATCTTCCAGCGCAATAAAAGCAAAGTGGCCTGCATGGAAAAAGGGCTTCAGCCCATGGCTTCCCTTGTGCTTTTTCACACTAAGCACACACACTTCACCCTCCTTCAATCAAGGCAACTTGTTATGTTTGGCTTTGTTGATTTTCAGAGGCAAAGGAGTAGGAGGGGGAAAACAGAAGGTTAATGAGGCTCTGCCAGATGCAGCACTCCAGAGGAGCAGTGGGTATTATATATTTTAAACAGTGGTTTCTGCTCTTTGATCCTCACCCCTGCTGTCCCTCTGCCAGGATGGCCCTCGAGCCCCCCTTGTCTCCAGGACTGTGGAGGAGCCCTGGGAACAGGAAGGAAGCAGGAGCACTGGGGGATGCTCTCCTCAAGCAAGCTTTCAGCAATGCTGCAGCATCCTTTTCAGTCACTCAGGAAGGCCAGGAGATGGAGAGAGCCTCCTTGGAAGGGGGAGGAAGAAGGGCAACTTTAAATACTTTGTGAAGGGGAAAAAAAATCCAACCTCAATGCATCATTTCAGGGAGATATAAAGGCAAAGGAGCCACTAACATGGAGAAAAGCAAGCTGCACTCCAAGAGGGAAACAAGGCACTTGAAACCAGCTTGCAGTACTGCTCAGGCACAGGGCTGCTCTGGGCTGGATACAGAGCACAGATCAAGGCAAGACTGCAGGAAACTCAGGGCACATCCCCATTAGCACACTGCCAGCACTGCCCTTGGTGGCAGGAGGTCTCTTACCCACGTAAGGACACACTCCAGTCTGCAACAACTCCAAAGATCTGGCAGCACAGGGTGGTAGAAGAACCATGAAGGAGTTCTGGCTTCCCCCCATTGCCACCTGCATCACCCTCAGGATGCCAAGAAAAAGAGAGTTGGGTTTGTAGCAGCTTTCTGCTGTTAAACAGGAGAGGAATCATTTCTGCCATCCAGCTTCCCAGCTCAGCAGGCTCACGCATTAGAGGAGATGCTCTGGGACAACACCAGGCAATACCAAATGTCCAAGGCTGCTTCTCTCAACTATTCCACTATTTGAACAGCTCAGGCTGCCTGCCCTCTGTGCACAAAGAAAAAAACTGAAACATAATGAGTAAGCTCCAGACAGGAATTAGAGTACAGCATATCCGGTGGAGACAGGGGCTGGAGTGGCATTAAGGTAGGAAGAATATAATTACCTGAAGTGGATGGCAGCCAGGAAAATGGTATTAATTTATTTCAAGAAAGCCAGAAGTGCCCAAACCTGAACTTTACATTTAAATCCAGAAGGTGGCAAATCACAGCATCCTGATTCCCTTCTTCCAGTGTTTGGCTGGAAGGGAAGGTCTCCAAATGGGTTCTGACTCCCACTGCCTGTGGCCACAATGCACCCCACCTTCATCTGGGAAGCCAGGTGCCATCCCAGCACAAAGCCCTGCTCTGCTTTGAAGCATGCACCACAACACTGCACCACATAGCACAGGAGAAGCCATGTCCCATTCCATACAGCTCACCTGCAGGCAATAAAGCCACACTAGGTCACAAACAGTCACAGGAATGTTCTCTAGAGCACAGCCACTATTTGATCTGCTAATAATTATCTGCTGTTCTGCAGAGATAAATGCTTAATCCTCTGGTTGTTGACACTGGAAATGGACCAGTTGGGCCTGGGGTGGATATCAGACAGGGGAACTTGGCTCCAGCTCTGATCCCTGCATCATGTGCTGTACAAATGTTCACTGGCTTATAGGTAATGGATTTCATAGGGTGGATGGGATTTTTCTATGGCAGAGCTAATCTAAAATAATACATGACCCAAGCATTCATTGTATCAAGTTTTCCTTCCTTTCCAGTGTTTTTTTTTTTTTTCCTCTTAGATTAACATTTCAATTTTCTCTTTTGGTCATTCCTCCCTCTTTCTTTATAGCTTACCAGCTTTCTCCTCTAGGACTGGTAGGAAGAGCTTCCCAAGCAGCAGTGCCCAAAGGACACAGAGATGGACCTGCATGACCCCTACTCAGGGAGAAAGGAGCAGAGCTGATGATAACAGAGAGGAAAAATTGTGCACACTGTTGTACGCAAGCAGCCTCTGCTTCAGGATGTTTTTTCATTTGTTTTTGCTGGCCTTGTTTGCTTTACCAAAGCAATATTTCCAACCCAATGGAAATAAACTTCCAGCCCACCTGAGTACAGAAGTTTGCCATTGTTGTGCTCAATTTAATTTGAAAGTGATAGTGAGACAAAGAAGTGGCATTAGAAAAAGAGCTGAGTTTCTTATTGGATCTTGTATTGCTTAACAACATGACAGAGAGGGGCTACTTGTTGTAGCCTACATTGTTCCTGGGCAGCCTCATCTTGACTGTGAGAATAGACTAATATCTACGAAGAGAATGGGAGCTTGAAGCCCCATTCAAGCTCCACTCCATAAGAGCTGGAGAAAGGGCTCTGGCAATCCTGGTTTCTGCTTTCCTTGCTCTAAGAAAAAAAAAGTTCTGGAGATTAAATCTAGGATCTCACAATCCAAACTCCTGGGGTCTGCTCCTGACTGCCGCTGATTTGCAGTGCATGCAAGTAAACTTCATCTCTCTGCCCCAACCATTCCCATGCAGAATCACAGAATGGGTCAAGTTGGAAGGCCCCTTTAGAAATCACTTGGTCCAACACCCCTGCAATGAGCAGAGAACACAGAGAAGATGCTACTACTGCACCATGTGAGCAAGCCCTCCAGACGCAGGCTTTGCATGAAGGATGCAGAGCACACACACACTTCCCCAAGCAGTTGCCTGGTATAACCACAAATCATTGTCACAGCACTCCAGCCAAGTGCCAGCTTTCACACTACACCCCTCCAAGCCCACCAGCAAGAATCACAAGTTATTTCCATCAGAAGGAATAAATATTGAGCTGCTTGCCTAATGCCAGAGGTCAGGACATATTAGAGCAAAGACAAATCTCATCCTTCCAAGGACACATCCAGTGTTTGCAAGGACTGTGCTAGCCTTCGCCCCCGGGTGGAGCTGGTAGCATGCAGCCTGTAGTCCATCCGACTTATCCTTCTCAGCAGACACTTATGATATCCCTAATCAGTGGCAGAATGCAGTCTTGGTGCTCCAAACCCACTAAGTTTAAGAGAAAGCAATAGCAAGCAAGCATACCATAAGCACCTGGGAAACCACCAAGCACAACTGGTTATGTACATCACACCAGACCTGGCTGACAGCTCCTTGTCCTACTGCCTTCTCCCACTCCTCAAGGCAGGTAATGTAATAAGTGGAAGCTGTAGGGGAAAAAAGGGGAATCAGAAGCTTGGCAACGAAGGAAAAGGTGAAAAGGGTACTCCAAGTAGATAGTGTCTAAAGGTATGAGTGCTGCTTCCCAACCTGCTGCTTGGCCATTTGTGATCGTCCCATACAGAACATTCTCTAGCACACTGCTCTTTATGCTCTCTAACACACGTGCTCCCTCCCGTTCCAGACAAGTGGGCTGCTTTATCACCTCAGAAGTGTCATTGCTGAGAATCTGCTCTGATAAACTGTGCAAAACTGCATTGATTCATTGCACACTGTGCCTTGCCTTGGGATGTTCTGGGGCTTCCTAACGATATACTTCCAGGCAGCATGCTAGTCCTTCCCAGTATTTATTGCACAACACAGGCAGGCAGATACACACCAGAAGTATGAAGAAACACAGCCATCTGTCCATCATTAAACAGCTGTCTCTGGGAAGGGCAGAGGCTCTGCTGTCAGTAGTGTACATGTTCAAATTACATGATCTCAGAACTCCAAGAAACTGCATAAAAAGCACCACTTGGTACAGTAACACGGAAATTAGCTGAGATTTTGCATGCTTTCCTCTTGCAATGCCTCTTCTTTTCAGTGCTTTAATCTGTTGAGAATACCAGGAGCAGCATCTCCTTGATTTGCAAAGTCCTGCACTGGTCAGTTCAGTGGTCCATATCTTGGGAGAAATACAAGAGACAGGTCTGCTTGCATGCATTTTCCAGGTCCATCTGCCTTGTCATTGGTCTGACAGAGGTAAGGTGCTGCTCTCAAGGCCATCTAACAGCTGACATCCCCCAGCACACATTCAGCATTCCTTCTGGCCTCAGAGGTGTTCACTCCTCTCCCAGGGCTCAGTGTAAGGAGCACTGTGCAGGAGATGATTTATGTGCTGTGTGCCACACAAAGGTCAGCTCCTTCCCTTCTGTGCCTTCCAAGTGAATGTCTCTGGGACTGAACTACGACCCATCAGGCAAAATACACGGTCATCCTGAAGCCCAATTAAGCTACCAGCCCTCTTCAAGCAAGGGAACAGTTCTCTTTCCTAGGATTAGTCTACCCAAATTGCCTCTTGATATTCAGGCAGCAAAAGATGCCAGAACAAGACTGTATCAGTGTGGCAGCAAGGAGACAGCTTGTCTTCCAACTTCCCAATCACATGGGATGCAGGGATGAGTTTCTGGCTGACTTCATGGCTGATGTCATCTCCTCACTCCATCCACTCCCCATCTTCCTTCTGGTAAAACAGATGGCACGGGGCAGGCTGCTTAGAGAGAGCAAGGACAGCATTTGGCCTTCCCATCACCTGTCAGCTAGATACCATCACATCTCCGCATGCCAGTGCCAGGTGGAGCTTGAAGTCACAGAAGCAAAGCTTGTGTGCCATCTGCCTTTATACATTAGGACTGGTCAGGCACATAGGGCAGGACATGACATCCCAGCAGCATCTGCAGGCAGCCTGCACATCCTTCTCAGACCATCCAGCCACACAGAAGTCAGGAAGCTTCAGCCCAGGCTCTCCACCAGATCAGCAATGGAACAGATTCTACATGGCAGAAAGAGCTCATCAGCCAATGACACTGGGTCTAATCATCACCCAGATGAAACAGAGAAGCCTGGAAGCAGCCTCATTTAGTTACAGCTGGAAGAATTCTTAACAAGAAGCTGCCAGATATGTCCAGTAAGCATCAAAAATTAAATCATCCTATGCCTGCAGCTTCTCTCCTTCACTGCTGGCTACACCAGCCCTTGTTAATGTGCTGCACCACCTGCTTCCTCCAGACCACTAGAGTCAGATGGCATGAGAGTTGCAGTCTCCAGCTCATCACTGGAGCCTTTCAGAACCAAGAACTCCAGCAGAATGTCCAAGAGGCAGAAAACCAGGTGCCTGAAATGGAAAGAAGACAAAGCTTAGCCAGTGGAGCTGGAAGATCAGCTCCAGACACACAGGAGCCAAAGGAAGGCAAGGCAGAAACAATGATTGTCTTCAGGAGATGAAAGATCTCATGCCCTAGAAGAAGTGTTTCAAGGGATGCTTCAGTACCCCCCACACCCAAACCAGGGAGTGTTTGAAGCTGACGAGCAGTGCAGAAAGCAAAAGAGCATCTCCTGGAGCAGTGAAATGCACATGGTACCTTGCAATTAATCACTTTAGTATTGCTTCCCAAATGCACAGCAACAGGTATGCAGAAAGACACCATGTACAAATATATGGAGCTCCCAGAGCTCTTTTAAAACCAACAAACTAAACCAGGGTTTGATTTTATTTCCTTCCATGACATCTACAAACTAAGAATGCACAACACCATAGTTAATATGATTGACTCAACGGCCTCCAGCCACACAGAGGTCCTAAAAAACTTTCACAATCATCACACCAGGTTCTTTGATAGCATATGAAGTCTATAGGAAGATTAGCCAGATAGATTCTACATCAAGCAGCTCATGTCAGAGCACAAAGCACAGCTTACAGGCCCCAATGCAAGATCAGGAGACTGTAACCAAAGTACCTGTTTATAACAGGATGGCCCAAGGACTCCAGCACCAGGCTCCAGCTCATGCGACATTTATCAGTTCCAAGGATTTCTTGAACCACATCTGTCAACATCAGAGGCAAAGCTTTAGGAACAGCACATTTTCACCAAAGGAAAACAGGCTCAGCCTCCTCCTGGTGGGTGCCAAATCAAAGTTTGTGATGGTGCTTCTGAGTGTGAGGCATCTTGTGCCCAACATTACCATGAGAGAAAATATCTAGGGACAGGCTGATTACCAAGGAAAGTGTTTCTGCCTGCAACAGAATGTAGTGGTAGCACTTTTTCATTCCCAAAGGGCAGTAAGGGCTCCTTACACTCACAATTCCATCCAGCAGAAAAGTCACTTGATCACTTTTAGAGCAAGAAGCCAAATGCGTCACTTCATGACTTCAGCAGTGGTACCTCTATCAGAGACAAGCACAACATTGCACAGGCTTCGTTCAGCCACATTTTGTTGGAGTGGCTCATAACAGCTGTCCTGCAAGCACCAAGAAGGGACACATGGCAGCCTGCACCTGAGAGTCACTATGCCCTCTCTCTCAAGTTGTGCTGCTCTCTAAACGCAGATACAAGCTGCCTCGAACTGGGGAACTACTGCTTTTAAAGTCCCATAGGTTATGAATGTTTCCCAGTATGTTGGCACAAGCAGACTCCATCACATTAACTGTATATCTAGAGATGACAGCACACTGGACAGTTCCCCAGTCTCACCCTTAATGGCAGCTGACACCTCTGGGGCACACTTACTAGGCAAGATCCCCATCAGGCTCTGCAGGGCCTGCTCTGCAGCTGCTTTCTTCTGTTCCTCTGTCCTGGCTGGTTTGGGCACTTCTGGTAGAACTCCTCCAGGCCAGATGGACTCCTGCAGCAGCTGGAGGTACTGCACCCAGCGCTGGGTGCAGGTCAGGTTGACCACCTGGACTTCCAGCCACCTGTGGAGAGAGAAAGGTTAGGAGACATCAGGCTTGGAGCAATTCCAGAGCTTTCAGCTGAAGCACCCAGCAAGCTGATTTTCCTTCCAGTAAGTTAACACAGTTTTCAAGTACAGATGTCAAACATTTTCCCAAGTCACTCCCATAAGGGCTCAGAGGTGCCTGCAGCCAGCATGGAGGGGAGACATATCACCACCATCCAAGCTAGCCAGGACAAGTTTCTGAACGAATGGCCCAAGGTTTTATGTCACTTCCCTGCACAACAGTAAAAGCCACAGCCATTGATCAGAGCTCAACACCAGCTGAAGTCCTTCTTCCCCAGAAGGAGCAGCCATAAGCCAAATCCTTGATGCCACCGAGGCCGACAGGAGAGTCCCACTGACTCAGAGCTGGGGTCTGGTCAGGGAGAAGGCTCATGATTTCACCAGGACTTCAAGAACCACAGAGGAGCCAGGCAGGGCCAGGAGACCCGTTCCTCTTGGCAGCTGGTGTTCGTGCTTGCAATTCCGTCACCACTACGCCCCGGCAGCTCACAGTACATCCAAGAGCATAGGCCCTGCCAAGGCAAACTTTATTTAACCTGCACTCTGCCAGACTGTCTGCATTCTTCTCCGGCGAGGCATGTAGGCCAAGGGCATCTTTCCCTGTGCAACAGGGACAATGCGAGCAAGCATCAGGAATAGCAACACCAAAGGTAATAGGGCTGAACAGCAGGTAGGCACCAAGGGTGTTCCAGAGCCATGGGGATGTGGGCACGGTGGGGTGGGATTGAAGTTGGGGATCTGAGAGGTCTTCACCAGCCTGAATCATTCTCTGATACTCGTGTGTGCTGTGCAAGCCCAGTAACAGCACTGGAGGAGGAACCTGTATGCTCAGCTGGGGACCACTAGTTCCTATGTTGCTACACGACAGTGCAACTTCCACCAGGCTAACAGGACAAGATGTCACAGCACTGTCTTGTATTTCAAACATGCCTTTTCCCAAACAATCGTTTGAAAGAGTTTTTATCTCCAGCAATCAGTAGCTTAACACCTTGGATCATGGTAAACCTTCCAGCCATCCCCAAGCAAATTAAAGTACTAAGCTGTGACTCCTTGAGGGAGAAGCTTTCATTAACATGTTTTCAAATACAATCTGGTTCTCTAATTGAGAAAGAACTTGACAGGCAACAGAAGCTCAGAGACTTGGGGACAGAGCTGCAAACAGTGCAACTCTGCATCTGGGGACACCAGATCCAATGTTGACTTGAAATTCACCTCAGCAACAGTCATTCACCATCCTTTAAAAGGTTGCAAAAAGCAAAGAAGAAACATTCTTTTCCTTAAGAATGCTCTTAAAATAGCAAAAAAACTCAAGCAAATAGTGCACAGAGTCAAACTGAACTCTGAGAAGGCAGCACACATTTCCAGACAGCTTGAGAACGGGCTGAGAAGTGACGGATGCTGGAAGGCCTGGTACAGACAGCCTCTCATTCCTAGCTCTTTTCTTTCTATAAAACCACCACAACTAGGCAACAGGACCTCCAAGTAACACCTATAAATCTTATCGCATGTGCACGCATTTTGATCGTGCAAGTGCTTGCAGGTCTTGGTTCCCACAGTTACAAAACATAGCGGGTGGATTTTTTCCCTGGTCTGGCAGCTCCCTGCCTTTCCATCTGGGAAGCGAAGGGCTGGATCCCAGGGCAGAAAGGGAGAAAGAAGGACCCAAAATGACAAAATGTGCATGAAAAAAGAAGAGATCAGACAAAAACTGCGCTGAGAAAAAAGAGAAACCAAAGCTGGATGCAAATGGAAGATTATGCACAGGGAATCATAGAATGGTTTGAGCTGGAAGGGACCCTTAAAAGGCCACCTGATCCCACTCCCTGCATTGAACAGGGACACCCAGAGCTCCATCAGTGCTCAGAGCCCCATCCCCTGACCCTGTGTGTCTGCAAGGACAGGGCACCACCACCTCTGTGCAATCTGTGACAGCGCTCTGCTACCATTTCTGATAAAATGTTCTAAACTTCCCCTCCTATACTTTGAAACCATTTCCCCTTTTCCTATCACAACACACATTGTGGGTTCATTCCCTTCTGTCAGTCTATCAGCGTGTGTTGACCTATTCCAAAAGCCCTGGAAGGGAGGAGTCTTCAGACTGGTGCCTCAGCATCCTTCAGTTCTGCAACTCATGGAGAGTCGTACCAAACTCTACTGAGAAAACCCACCTGAGCAAGACCTAGATTTCTAAGGCACACTGACCTTTTCACCAGGCAGACTTGCTGCATCAGCATCAGATCAGGTTTAACAGCTCAAACTTCTCACACAGGAACTCCAAACATGTGTGGGCCCAAAGCTGACCCTCAACAGCTGATCCCAAATGATTTTTTGTACTATTAAAGTATTAAGCACCAGATCTGTGTGCCACATCAAAAAAACACACGTCCTTGCTTCCAGGTAGAAATAAATGTGGTAAGGAGCAGAAATAGTAACTTGAAAAGGATAGCTCTATTTCCATTCTGGTATTTAATGAAGAAATAACCTTAATAAGAAAAATAAACCCATCACCAAACCATCTCCTTACGCTTTGGCAGAGACCAGAAATAGAGAGAAAGTGACCTGCAGGGCTCAGACATTCAAATGCTTCAATAATGCCCAATGTAAGACGACAGACTGCCAAGGCTACGAGGTCCTGGACATTCGTCTGGGGGTGCATAACTTGCCCATGTTGTAAGGGTCCTCTGTCTGAAATAGCTTCTGATGGAGGAATTAAATGGCTGCTAAAAAAGAGCTGTTTTAATGCCATGGCTTAAATCGGAACTCCAAGGTCAGCTGAAGGGATCCATTAAGACAAGAACTGCAAAAGTGCTCTGGGAATGATGAACAAGGCCTGGGTAGCACAGACCTTGGCCCTTCTCTGCCCCCTAAAAGAAACAGGGCTGCTAGTAGAGAGCAGTCTGGTCAGGAACAAAGCACTGTGTATGAACCAGAGCTTACCTGGCTCCTGAAAGGAGGAAGCATCACTTAAGTGCTCTATCCATAGGGTTCACCTGCAGGAGAGAGCTCAACTCCCTGAGTAGAGGAATTGTTTCTTCTGGAAAAGAAGGATGGACCACCACCAGTCCAGCAAACCAGAAGATACAGTACCATCCATACTTACAAACAGCTGCTAGAAGCTGAGAAACCTCTGCTCTCCTCCATCAAGGTAAGGCTGAGAACTGTCAAGTTCATTTGAGCAAAGGAATGGTTGGGTTGAGTAGGCAGAAAACCTTTGTTTAGCACCAGTTGTGATTACAACTGAACATACAGCAGTGTGAAACCCCCCCAGACCAGGGACTGTAAGGATACAGACCAACAGCCCAGAGACTATGTTAGGGAGGGAAAGATGGAAAAGTTTTTCCTTGTCTGTTTTAGCTATATAAATACAAATAGCTCTGTGAATATATATGATCTGTGCAGAACAGTAGCAAGTACAGGTCAGGCTCTATTAGCTCTCAGCCCAGTACAAAGCCTCTGCTTCCCTGAGGTCACTTAACACAGCACAGCTAACCAGAAGCTCAAACAGGGCCTGTGAGACCCAGGTAGGGAAACAGATTTAAGGAAAAGGCAACATCTGGAAATGCACAAGGCAGTCAAGCACCTGACTCCTATGAAATCAGAGAAGGCTGATGCTTAAATCACCAGACCACCTTTCCTTCCAAGTCCTCATCCCCCAAATTCTTCCTCAAATTGTGCCCGAAACCACAAGAATATCCTTAACATGACAGCTCAGAAAGAGGGACACTTGAATGCTACAAACCATTTCTGAACAGAGCTTATAAAACCAAAAGAAACAGCTGGAAGTGGACACAGGGACAAGGATGGAAAAGCACACAGGAGAGCTGTGCCCCAGGCTCAGTGCTCAGCACCTGCTGCTAGAGCCCAATGCTCACCTCCCAGGGCCATGTGCCAGCAGCAGCATGTGCAGCTCAGAGCTGACACACTTGGCCCCACCACCTTCAGAGCAGACCCACACTCATCCAGCCATCAGTCAGCTCCTAGCAGAGGAAGGAAATGGGAAAGAAAAACAAAAAGAAAGTCCTCCATAAATCAAAGAACACAAAGCATCCCAAGTCCTTTTAAACTTCTGGCCAAAGACACGCATGCAGAAAGTAAACTATCCTTCTCACCTTACTGGAAATGCTCCTCTCCTGCTGCTCTATAAAAAGTTTACTATTGTATATGCTGTGAACAATGCGTTCTGTACCCCTGCCCAAGCACACATGATGAAGTGTTTGACCAGCGAGGCAGCAGCCCCATGGCCAAGTGCCTTCCCCTCGAACAGAGTGTCTTGCCAGCCTCCCAAACACAGCTGTGCCAAGGGCAGCTGCTCTGGGGGAAGGAAGGAACACACAAAGCTGCAGGGAGCTCACACAGGTAGCAGCATGCTTGGTAGTCCTGCCTGCACCAGCGCTCTGCTGATGTGGTGCACTGAGATTGGAGCTGGAAAAGCACTGGGAGATGAAGGGCACAGCATGCACAGCATTTCCCTGGGGGCAGAAGGCATCAGCCTTGCTGTTGGGAGGCACAGAGCTTTACCTGCATGTTCAGCTTTGCTGCTGCCACGTTACTCGCTGCTCTCCTACACATCTGCTGCAAAAAGAAGGCTCAGGAACATGTGGCTCCAGCTCTAACATCTTTCTGCAGTAAACCAACATAGCTGCTCTGCTGGGTTCTTACTTTTGAGTTAGAGCTCCCTGCAACACCATGGGGCTCAGGAAAGGGGGAGAAAGCTCTGCAATGAAAAAAATCATCCCCAAAATCCCCTGATTTTGAACAAAGCATCCCAGCTTTTGATAACATCTTCATCAAGTATTTATTGAGCCAATTAAGCTCTCAGCAGTGCCCCAGGGAGAGGCCAGGCTGTCTCAGCCAGGTCCTGCTCAAAGCAGATTGCTTCATTAGCCCACTTCAGAAAAAAATACTTAATAACAGAATTAACCCTTCATGAGCTGGGGAAAACTACAGCCCACAAGGAGAAATTACGTCTTTTCCTGCTTATTTTCCACAGTTGGAAGTTTTCTTTCTTCTTAATTTGAAAAAAAGAAAGTTGGCAAGTCTCTAATTGCTGAAACAGAGTCAAAAGAAAATGAGATGCAGTTAAAATAATGTTGCAATTGTTATCAAAGTAGAGAGCACTTGCCTCATTCTAGCGGCTGTTTTTGGAAGAATGCTGCCTCTAAATGAAGGGAAAAGAATTGTTTGGGATAAAGATTCGAAAGCCAGATCCAAAATTTCCAGGTGCTTGGAGACAACTGAATCAAGGCTCGTTTCCAAGGGCCTTTTATTTACTTTACACACACACGAAGACACACGCAGTCCTGAAGATTGCTTTTGCTGACGCACCCCAGGCCTGCAAGTCCTGTTGCTGCTTGCAGCTACAACAGCCAAAGCCAGAGGTGAGGAGGTGGATGCCATAAGGCCGCTTGCCCTGCATCCAAACTATTGCTGCCGTGCAGGCAGGGGCACAGGCTTGCAGCAAAAGAGCAGCGAGATCTCTGCAGCCCTCACTGCAGAGCCAAAGGGATGCTGGCTAACCGTGCCCACAGCAGGGAGCCAGGCAGAGGAACAAATGGACTGAAGCACTCCACCTGCAGCAAAACATGGGAGATGTGGTGAGCTACCTGCCAGCAACAGAGCTGAAGGTAACTGAGTGCTGGGAACAGCTTTAGCACCAGCTTTCCTAGCTTCTCCTGGCACCAGAAAGCACAGGCTGGTTCTCCTCTGTAATAGCTTTTTCAGAGATAATGCAGAGAGAGAACAGATCTCTGCAGTGACCATATGCCCAAGCACAGCCACATCCTGCTCTGGGTGCAGAATGGCTTTGCACCATGCTTAGCACCAGGTCTTACTGCTGCTTTGGATGCAAACGTAGCTTGTGCAGACCTGACAACTCTGGGCACCCAGGATGAGGTGCTGGCCATGGGTAGCACATCTCCAGCATGCCCACGCTGCAGGCAGACTGACTCATGGGCATTGAAGAGGATCAGGCAACACTACATCCTGGTGGCACTTGAGGTTGAGAGGATCCAGGGGGCTGCCATGGGGTTTTGTTTTTGCCAGTTCCGTTGGCACAGAGATCAAGGAAGATAAAGCAGAAAAAAACAGCAAGGAACACGGTGGAGCCGTGATCTCATACCACAGTGCCCCAATACCTGGCCTGACATCAACAGGCTCCACCACAGAGCCCTGAAGCCAAGAGGACAGCAAAAAGGAAGCCCAGGGTAATAAAGTCCACCCAAACCATCCTGCATGATGGCTGCAGCACCATGACGTGCCCTTACACAAGGAGCAAGGGGCAGAAATCTCTATGATAAGAAGCTGCAGCATCCTTTGGACCTGTGCTGTCACCCAGATTGCTGCAGGGACCCCAGGGTTGGCTGCAAGGACTGCTTGCTGCTCCACTGACAACTTGTCAATCCCAGGATGCTGATCTGAAACGTTCACCTGGTGGTACTGTAGTTTCCAACTATTGGTTGCCCTGCCTTCAGAAGGTAATATGGGCCTGGGAGAACCCCAGCAGAAGCCAAAAGGAGCTGGCAGACCCCGACCCAGTGACCAGCATGCCAATGAGGACAGATCGAGGGCAGGGTGCAGGGTCACAGCACAGCATTCTTTACATGCTCACCATTTATTTTTAATGCTGCTTTGACTCACAGGCTCCAAAAAGGATGCAGATTCTCTAAATGCTTTTTATCTCTTTCCCTGAAAAGCCCAGAATAGCCCCATCTACTCTCAGCAAACAGGTTCCTGGTGAGAGTTCATCATCCTCAGCCCATGGGAGGGAGGTCAGACAGATGGGCAGGGAGCAGGGCTCAGTTACAGGGACCTGGAACATGCAGGGGCTGCTGGAAGCTCCCCTCCACCCACCTCTCCTTTCAGCTCCAAAAAAGGATCACTCCCTGTTACATAATGGGATGAGCACTGCTCAGATGCTGCTTGCACACACAGCTCCTTTTTACTTAACAATACCTTTTTCGGGCATACTCTGCACTGCCATCGAGCTGACAGTTAGCAGAGACAGATGGTGCCTGGCTCCAGTGACTGCAGCTCTGGAGGAGGGAGAAAAAGGAGCAGAGAGGAGCAGAGCAGGATAGGGAGGGCTCAGTCATCAGCAACACAAAGGTAATGCTGGTGCTCCACAGCAATGCTGTAGACACTGAAGCCTTCTGGATGGAAGTTCCCAAAGGAGGAGAGGTGAGCTCCCTGGAGAAGTCTGACTGTTTCATAGGTGCTGCTGCTGTTTTGATTTTTCTGCTCTTCCTATGGGGCACATGGAGTGCACAGCAATAGCAATGTCCATAGAGGTGGCTGAAAGAACAGCATGTTTCTCACGGAGCCCAAGATGAGAGAGAAGCCTGCAGCAACAAGCCCCTTCTAACACCCTAAGTGCTACCAGGACAAGAATTCAGCACAGACACATCCAATCCCAGGGACACTTGGTATCTGCACTCTATAGGAGGTGCTGACCATAGCACTAAGAAGTCACAGGACTTTGCACCATTACCTCCAGCCCAAGGTTTGCATGCAACACATTCAGGTTCACCCAGACCCATTGAAGCTGAGCTGCTACAACCACATCCATCCTCACACTGCTCTGCCAGCACAACAGACAGAGCTCCTCCAGTTCCCAGAGCCAGGCATGTGCTTTGTATATGACAGCTTCTCTAGTGGAAAATACCAATGCCACGTGTCAGTGCTGCAGGCTTGCTGGGTGACTGGGACACAGCTTATTAGGAGGCTATGACATGCACGCTTAAGCTCTCATAACTCCGTGCTTACATGCAAGGATTGGGTTCCAGCTCATTCCCCAAGACACCAGAACCCATTTTGGAGAAACAGGAGTAACACCCACCTCCTCCCACCCGAGGAAACCAACTCAAGTGTGACAGCCAGCAGCCTCTGACCTCAAAATGCTTCAGCAACCTCTGCTGAGGGCAGCTCAAGTTACCACCCAGGTTACAATGTGCTGCACTGCACATTCTGGCACTGGCTTTGAATGCCTGCTACAGAAGAGAGGGTGCAGGAGTGGAAAAAGCAGTGCTCTGAGGCTCCCCCTAGTCCAAGTACTTCTGGAAACGCTTATCTTTTACACTACAGACCACGTCCTCAGCTGGTGATAGTCTCTGACCTACACAAAAAAAAACAGAAATGCTGTTTGTACGTCTTGGCCTGGTGCCTTACCACACAGAGGCACTGGCCTCAGAAAAGCTTGGCAAGCACATACCAGCTGGAAAGGAAGTCTTTCCCTCATACATCTGTGGGTCAGTGCCCAAGGCACAGGCACTACTGGCCCACCACAGATTGGAAAGGGATGCATCAGTGAGAGCAAAGGCCCTGGGAGCTGTTACTTGACAAGCCCCTGTTCTCCATGCCTGTTTATTCTCCTTCTGCTGAGAACACAAGCTGAGGCTCTGGGCAGCAGGAGTGCAGCAGAAGCCAGACTCTCCCTGGAGTCTGAGGAGTTGGGCATATTTACTCCTTCTCTAAGGAAGAAATTCACATGGCTTTCCACTGTATCAAAAGCCAGAAGGCTGGCTCCTGGCATTATACTTCTGCTCACAGGGAAAGCAAACCTCCAATATTTACTTCACAGAGCTCCATTTTAGAGCAACTCCAAAGCCAGTGCCACTCTGCATCTGGGAGGTTGGTCACTGAGGCCTAACCTTTGAATGAGGGTTCCAAAGAGCAGGTGGAAGGCCTTCTGGATATTCTCCATGCCCAGCCAGCTCCAGTGATCCATCAGCAGCAAACGCAGCATGTCCAGGGCCAGGTCAGCCAAAGCAGTCTCAGAGTCTGCCAGGAGGAAGAGGAGGATCAGATAAGCCAGCTCAGAGTCTAAGCAAACAATGGTGAAAAGCAGATGAACTCCACTCTTTTCCCCAACAGTCTGAGCAACGCTTTGCTCCCCAGCTTAACACCTCATGCCACATGCAGGTAGTCAGCCTGTCGATCCTGCCCTCATCATCCTCATTTCCACTTCCATTCGAGCAGCACTGCCCTGCAGCCACCAGAACACAGCAGGAACTGAGCAAAACTGCCCTTGCTAATTTATTCATGAAGACAGCAGTGTGACCAAAACAGGTGAGAAGACAACTGTGATTGTAGCCAGGAGCAAGGAATGCTGCTGAGGACCATCCTTCTCAGTTTTACTGAATGCTTCCCCTAACACATGCAGTTCTTCAGGCACAGAGCTCTGCTTGGTGTCTGTGGGCTGCCATCGTGTGGCAGGTCTGAGTCTCAGCAGGACGATGGATGGAACATCTGGTTTATCCAGATGCATCAGTTCTGACAGTAACACTCCTACATCCAGATATAAACACCTGGTGGCACAGATCAGGTACAGCAAAACTTCTCTCATCCTCATTCATCCTCAGACAGATGAGAAAGCCTAGAGTAAAAACACATTCAGTGTGCTAGAGAAACAACTCTATGCTGCTTGGATGCGAAGTATCATAGAAGTGCAGAACAAAGCTATCAATGCACAACAAATCTGCCTGAGATAACCACTCCTAGGCCAGCACCCCAACCCAAGGCTGCTGCACCTGCTGAACTACTAAGCCATTTTCCAATAACTCATCTTTCAACTTCTCTCTCCCTATGGAGAACTGATGGAGATGAAGGGGAGAGTTTCTGAACCCCATCATGCCTCCTTCCCTCCTTGCTACTCACAAACTAATAACTTGAGGCCATTTATTTGGAGGAATTCAGGCGTTTGAGTGCACTCAGCCTCTCGCTCTGGGCCACACACAAGTTAATCCCATAGCTGTGTCCTCTGAGTTGACTCCCCTACGCAAGAACTGGAGCAGGCTGCTTGCTTCACTGCAACTCCATAGGTCAAAAAAGAAGTGCTGTCAGCAAGCTCTGTTTGTTCCTGTTTGCATCCAAGCCTCCTTCCTTGCAGAGCTGCTGGCCACGCTCCTCCACCCAGCAAGCAGATAGGGATGCTGCTTGCCTTTAGCCCCAGACATACATTCCTTTTGTCCAGCCAGACCAGTCTGCCCTGTCTCAGCCCACAAGCATTTGACATCATTTATGTACAGGCTTCCCCAGGGGTAAAGCTAACTTGGCCTGTCTCTATCTCCTGCCCTCTGTACAGAGCTGACTTCCCATTCCAGTCCTGCTCCACAGCAGCTCCAAAACAACTGCGGGCATGCGTTCAAAGCTTATAGGCAGAGCTGGTAGCACAGGATGTTTCAGAACCCCAGACCCATTCTGTCACAAGCACGTGCTTTCAGTCAGAGCTTGCCAAGCTTTCAAACCACTGGAATGAAGTTTCTGGAAAGTTCCAGCTGATACAGTTTAGCTATTCCAAGAAGAAGATTAGAGAACATATTTTTGCTCACACTCAGGGTAAACTTGTAGTTGCTCTGAGAGGACAAAGACCTCTGTGATTCAGAGGAGGGATCTATAATCAGAAATGGAACATTGTTCTTTTAACTGAGGTTATGCATTTGCTGTTTGCAATAAATTCATCCCAATTTAAAAGACTCTCAAATATCCTTTTACAGTGCATGGACAAATCAAGGCTAACTTGAGACTATCAAGAAACCATAATCTGGCATTTTATCCATGTAAAAGTGCTTGATTTTACAGCATTAGCAGTTTAGGTAGCACATCCTAAAGAAATGTATTTCTGCAGTAACTGCAGTAAGCACACTAACATGAAAATCTACAAATCTACAGCAACACAACTGAGCCAAGACTCAAGTTGCCTCCAACAGCAATAAGGATGAGAGCAACTTCCCAACAGCACCACAAAGGACTCAGCTTGCTGCCTCAATCAAGGAGCAACAGGCAGGGGACCAGATGCTCAGCAGGCAGCTGGGGCAGGACCTGGGGAAAAAGGCTGGAGCAACGGGGCTGAGCTCACCCGTGTCCAGATGTGCTTCCTGCTCCAACGTGTTCAGCCCATCTGTATCCTCCTGCACAGATTTTTCCTTGGCTTCTTCGCTTCCCTCGCCATCAGGAGCTTTGCTGGGGACTGCTTCCAGCAGCTTCTCCTGCTTCTGGATGAAGGACTCCATAGCAGCCAGTGACAGGGTGCCAGAGACCTACAAAAGCACCGGTGTATTAATACCAGTCCATACTGCCCAGACAGCCCCCACCATCCAATAGAGCACCTAGAGGTGCTCAACATCTTTTTGCAAAGGCCTGGCATGCAGGTACAAGGCTGCAGCAGCCACAGCCCTTGTGCACATGGATAATGCCAAGCCAGCACCCCAACAGGGCAGTGATCAGGATCATGAAAGCATCGTAAGAGGAATATGAACTTACAGTGCTGCCCTCCCTCACGGAGTACACAATCCTGTCGTGTGCTTCACTCACACTCAGCACTGGAGTGATTTTGCTGGATGGGAACCTCAGCCTGGACCTGGAGAAGGACACAGGACACAGTCAGGATTTTTCTCCACAAGCTGCAAGCAATGTTTCCCAGTTTCAGCCAAGAACTTGTACCAGCTGTCTGTACAAACTAAGTCTGATTAGAGCTAAAGTGGTTCCAAACAGCACCTGCCCCAGCAAGGATAACAAAAGCTAGCTGCAGAACCATGCAATGAAAGCTTTAGAATTACTTGCCTTCAACATTCTTAAATATTGGCATAGCCACAGCTTCCCAATATCCACCACAGCACCTTCCTTGACAGGTGTTTTAGATAAGAGTCTGCATGCAAATGTACACAATGCTGTTCAGCAAGGTATGAGCACATCAGCACATCCAGGAAAGTGTTCAGACAAGATCTGAGTTGAGACATACCCAGCAGGATTGTGAAATTTAATTATAAACACATATACATAAAGGAGGATATGAAAGGACATTTCAGACTTGGGACACATTGTAAAATAGTCTGTTTATCATGAAGGAATGCTCTTTCCAGCCAAGATGCTTTAGAAGTTGAACTTTTTTCCTTCTTTTTGTTCTCACACAATTTTTGTTAAAAAAAGCTTTTCCTAGCAAAACATCTTTTTTTTCCTGGAACAACAAAAACAAGAACTATATTCATGCTGTGGAAGTCTGACCATTTCTGGAAAAATCTTTAATCCAAACAAGGGTTCAAATGCCCTTCTCAGCATGCAAGAGAGAAAGAAACTCAACTGCAATTGGACAGCTGAAGGAGCCCTTACTTGTTTGACTTCTTTCCATCTGGCTGATATTTCCCATCCACTTCAGACTCACTCAGATCCTCTGTGGGGCTCTGGGGCTCTGACCTGGGGAATGCTGTCTTCAGGGTATCCACAATGGCATTTACAACAATCTGCAGCAAGAGCCAGGAATACCATCAACCACTGACAGTTTTCTTGAATAAGAAACAAAGAGTTTTAAGACTTGCAGTGTCCCTGTTTCCCATTTGAAAAAAAGAACCCACAAAACAGGCTCTCTGAGAGGGGCTCTGACCCTTCCTTTTCACCCTTTGTGGCTTCCTGGGCAAGCTCAATGCATCCACACAGAGTTTGACTTTTCTAGCTGCTGCAGCAGCAATGCAGACTTGTGCAAATGGAAGTTGGTGCACTCAGAAATTCACACTGCCCATTTCCCACCCACCTACCTTGTCTATCCTGGAGACAACGAAGGGCTTCTTGACAAATGCAATCCTGGCGTCGGTGTTCAGAGCAAGGAACTCCTGCACCTCCTCACTGTTTGCAATCTCAGGGACTGCACACAATTGCTGTAAGGGGAGAGGGTTTTAGCTCTTCTCAGAGTGAGCATCCCAGCTTTCTCATGTGAAGTGCAAGCAGAAAACCCCTGAGGTGCTCCACTGTGTCAACAGACAACTGTCCTGAGCCACTACTTTATGCCAGTAAAATAAAATACTTCAGAGCCAGCATAAAAGCCCAGCTCCCAGGTATCACATTAGCAGTGATCTGATCGCTGCACCAAAGGAAGGGGAATAGTGAAAACCATCTCAGCAGTCACAGGAAGCAGTGGATATAGGCACCAAGCACCTCACCTTCAAGAAAGATTCCAGCAGACTTTTTCTGGCTTCCACTTTATCGCTGTCCATATTTCCAAATGGGAGATCAGGGAACAGTTTCTTTGGTCCTTTGATATCTGGAAATAAAATGCACATTTGTAAGCTCGAGAGAACTGTAAGAGCTGCATTAAAATCTTAATGCTCTTTCACTTAAGACAGCCACCACTGTGCCTCAGCCCGAAATAATATTCCCACCAGATCAGGCTGACTGAGTCAGACCTTAAATCCATCTGTGCAGAAAGAAGGTAAATTCAATTTTTTATTTATAATATAGCTTATATCCAACACTTGCTCACACAAGCAAAATGCTCACAGATCACTAATGTTTTGGTGTTGCTGTTCATTGCCAAGGTGCAAAACTGCAAAAAAAAGCAGTTGGGAATGTAATGTGCTATAGTGGGATGGAAAGTACAGTGATAATAGCAGGGTGACAGTCTTTGGCTGCAGCAAATGAGAAAGAGCCCAAGTGCAGCAGATGCAGAAATGAAGGAAGAGAGCTGCTTACCTTTAGAAAGCCTCAGAGAGGCAGGGATCTCCAGCAAGAGATGCCCTCACTTCCACTGCCAAGCCTTAAATGAGGTCTGGGAAGGGGTGGAACCTGACTCCACCCCTTCAAATCACTCAGGTACATTGCATGCACCTGAGCTCCCCTGCATTGGCCCTGCCTTCCCACAGGTGCCCCATCACTGCTTCAGGCCATGACTTAGCATTTCCACTACAGGGAACAAGGATGATTTCTACAACACTATAATTTGCAAGCTAAAAAAAAATCCACTTCCCATCAGCTCTGCATAGAGGACACAGGCACCTCAAACAGCCCAGCATCCTGACTACGCTGCATATGCTCCAAGCAGGGAAGGGCACACTGTGATCACAGAATCACAGAATCGCCAGGGTTGGAAGGGACCTCAAGGATCATGAATCTCCAACCCCACAACAGAGGGGTGTTCACAGGAAGCTGACGCAGCACTGACTTTTCAGGAACTTGCGGAGCTCCGGTTTCTCCTCCAGCCTGGTCTGCAGGTTGAGGAACTCCCGGTAGCGGCGGTTCACAGTGTGGTAGGCCATCTGCTGAAGGCTGCCTGCAACCTCACCCTCCAGGGCTGTCTCATACTGAGGAGGAAAGCAATGCTCGTTAATCCTTGCAGACCTCTAAGCAATACCGTGTTGCCCACACATCCCACCTAACACTCCCCAGCTCTCTCCCCACACAGCACGCACATTCCTCACAACGAAGGGATGGCTGACATCAGGCTACAACTCACCTTGATGGTGTACAAGGTGTAGGGGTGGAAGCCAGTCCCACTGTGCTCACGGGCAGTGATGGTGCCAGTTATGCGCAGGTTCTGAATGACCACTGGTCCGTCGGGGCTGCTGAGGGGCTCAAAACTGAAGGTGCTGATGGGAGCAGTCGGGGAGGATGAGAGCAGGGGAAGGGGCTGAACAGGGTCTGATGGGCTTTGTGGTAGGGCCTCTGGTGTTCCCAGTTCTTTCCCCAAGCTGCAGGGCCGTTGCACAGAGCACTTCTTGGGACTGTCCTCCTCTGTCTCCATCACTGGATCAATCTGGATATCAGGGCAGGAGCCCAGAACATAAGCAGAGGGGAGTAGCAGTCCAGCATCACTGCTGGTGGTATGGCCATCCTCCAGATCCCCCATCCCATCCTCTGAAGTGTCTGCTCCCTCCAGCAGAGCAGGAACATCAGGAAGAGGCTCATCAAGAAACTCCCCAGCAGGTGATGGTGCCAGCAGCTCCACATCCTGGCCTGGAGAATCCAGCTCCAAACCCTCATAAGGAAACAGCAAGCCCAGGCCTCGTGGCCTCAGGACAACCCCCTCACTGCGGGGCAGCTCACTTGGCACATCCACACCATCCTCACCACCAGCCCCTGCTTCTCGCCCAGGTGACGGGGATAGAAGTGGTACTGCTGGGGCAGCATCCAGCTGAGCTGTGAGGGGCAGAGAGTCCGGCACTGGAACTGCAGGGCTGGGCTCCTCAGTCTGTGCCTTCCTGGGGAAGGCCCCAACCAGCAGCAGGTTGATCCAATCAGGGTCGGCCATCTTCCTGATGGCAGGCAGCAGCACGTTGCAGGCCACCAGCTCCACCACCACGAAGTGACCCGTCCGTGTCTCCAGGTGGGGCCGAGGCACCAAAGCCCGCAGCAGCAGCTCCACAGAGGCACGGGCATAGCTCACCTCAGCCGCTGGGCTGCAGAGGGCCGGGTGCAGGCCTGCGACCCGACGGTACTCCTGCCACAGCAGCCCACGGCCCCGTACGGCCTGCAGGTAGCTCTGCAGGTGATGGCCGCACAGCAGAAGCAGCCGGCGGGCCAGGGCCTGGCGGTCAACCCGCGCCATCCGCCGCCTCAGCTCGGCTGCCAGCCCCATCATGGCCTTCTCCACCTCAGCCTCAAAGGCGCACTCGCTGCTGACGGTGCGGTACCAGGAGGAGACGAAGTCCCTCACCACTTTCCTGACGGTGCTGCTGATCTCCTGCTCCAGCTGCTCCTCCGCCTCGGGGCTGGCTGCTGCCGGCCGCAGGGATCCAGCAAAGCGCTCCAAGCGCAGCCGCCAGCCTGGCCTGCTCAGCGCTCGGGGTCCCAACCACCCACCCAGCACCGCCGCGGTTCCGCACAGCAGCGCCAGCACCTGCAGGTCCAGCAGCAGCACCAGCAGCCAGCCCAGCACGGCCAGCAGCGCCAGCAGCTCTCGGCGGCACGGCATGGCGCAGCGCTGGGGGGTTTAGCAGTCAGGGCTCTGCGATGGGACCTGGATTCGGTGCTGGGGCTGCAAAGGAGCGGGCAGCACGGGCTGCAGGCTGCTCGGAACTAAGAGCAGCTGGGGCTCCGGGCTCCTAACCCGGCACTAGGGCTAGGAAAGCACGCACCCAGCTGGGCATTAGGGCCGGCCGAGGGCTCAGTTAATAGAGCTCCTATCTGCCGGGCTCCCAACCGAACATCACGGCCGCAGCCCCTCGCACAGCACCGCTCAATGACCCCGCGCGGCTCCAGGCACCGGGGCTGCACGCAGCACGGCTTTACCGACCCCCTCCGGGTCCCTCCCTGACCCCGCACCAACCCCAACCAGCAAACACCAGAGCACCGACACAGCAACTCCTCACCGCGGCTCCAATCTCAGCCAGCCGACATCACTCCAGGCCCCGGGCTCCGCACTGCCGGCTGCACCCCGCAACGGAACCACAGCACCGGGATCCGGGCGGCGCGGGTTCCGCCTCTTTTCCCTCCTTTTCCGGCCCCGCCCCCCGCGGCTCCGCGCGCACTGCAGCGCCCTCTGGCGGCGGGCTCGCGCCACTGCGGCCGTTGGGCGCGAGCCGGAGGTTCCCGCACGTGCGCCGCGCTTCTTTTGCACGCGCCGCGAAAATGGCAGCGTTCGCCTTCGGGATTCTCGTCGTGCATGAAGAACAACAACAACGAAAAAGTCTGTGCTCTCACACTGACGTTCCCGCATGCGCTTTGTTGTGACGGGGACGCGTGTAAATGGTGCAGTTTTGCACTTGGGCTGGAGGAATCCCAGGCGTCCATACAGACTGCGAGGAGCAATCCGTGAGAGCAGCCCTGCAGAGAAGGACCTGGGGGTCTTGATGGATGAAAAGCTTAACGTGAGCCAGCAGTGTGTTCCTGCAGCTCGGAAAGCAAATGGGATCCTGGGCTCCATCAGCAGAGGGGTGGCAGCAGGGACAGGGAGGTGATTGTCCCCCTCTGCTCTGCTCTTGTGAGCCCCATCTGCAGCACTGCGTTCAGGGCTGGAGCCCCCAGTGCAAGAAAGACAGGGAGCTGTTGGAGAGGGTCCAGAGGAGCCACAAAGATGATCAGAGGGCTGCAGCACCTCCCCTGTGAGGACAGGCTGAGAGCTGGGCTTGTTCAGCATGGAGAAGAGAAGGGTGAGCTCATTGCAGCCTTCAGTACCTAAAGGGAGCCTACAAACAGAAGGGGAATCAACTTTGAAAGGGTAGATAATAACAGGACAAGGGGAAATCAATGGTTTGAAGTTGAGGGAGGGCAGATTGAGGTTGGATGTCAGGGGGAAGTTGTTTGCTGTGAGAGCGGTGAGGTGCTGGAACAGCTGCCCAGAGGCTGTGGATGCCCCGTCCATCCCTGGAGGTGTTCAAGACCGGGTTGGATGGGGCCCTGGGCAGCCTGGGCTGCTGTGAAATGTGGAGTTTGGTGGCCCTGCATGCAGCAGGGGGTTGGAGATCCGTGCTCCTTGAGGTCCCTTCCAATCCAGGCCATTCTGTGATGCTGTGCAAACGCAGCAGCTCAGAGCTGCGGGCTCCTGCAGGCTGTGAAGCCGCGGTGCTGCTGCGAGGAGGTGGCTGCACAGCTCTGAGCCCCGTGTGGGACATCAGTCACAGCGCAGCTCTTCGTGTGAGTCCAGCACAGAAGAAGTGGTGCGGTGCCTTCGCCTCGGGGCTCGTTTCCTTCTCCCTTCCCCAAGTAGTGGCAGGAGCCGCTTGGATGGATGGAGAAGGCAGCTCCCATCAATCCTATCCTCAGTCATTCCCTATGGTGAAATTGTGGCTTTTGTTGCGGTGCTTTTTTTTTGGAGGATGAGCACATTTAGAGCGCAGTGTGAGCTGTGGCACAGTGGTGTGCTGAGGTGTGGGGCTGGGAGGTGCTGAGCCCTTGGCTGGGGTGGGCAGAAGGCAGCGTGAGGCTGCTGCAGTGATTTGGGTCTGACTTTGTGTTGGAGCACTGAGGCTGTGGATGAGCACTGTTGCTATAGGATGGTGAGATTTGGATGCCCTGCTCAAATATGGGTGATGCAAGCACTCCTGGCACATCACTCAGCAGGCACTGTTGGGACTCCCCATTCCCCCCCCCCAATGCTTTGCTTTTAAATTATTTAATGAGCTCCTTAAGCGCCGTGGCTGTTTAGCATGGAATTTGTCAAGGCTCCATCAGCCATATACAGCACAATGTGACAGCCATACTTCTATTACAAGCAGCATATTAATCTTGGAATAGCGCTATTTGTTTTCCTCCTTTGCTTTTATGGTGCTTAAAAGCATGTATCTTCTCCCGAAAATCAATAACTAAAGCTATGAATAATAAAAAAACACTGCGGCGAATGGCTCGTGGAGATCCTATGGCTGCAAGTTGCAGCAGTAATGACTCTGTTTGCTATCCGTTAAGTATGTGAGCTCAGAAGAATTATGCAGATTATAATAGCTGTATCAACATAAGTATGTTTTGCTGATAGACTTTCCTGATTGGATCCGCAGGACGTAAGCCTGCTAATCCCCTGCATAGAGGACCTGATTATATGAGAGCGCTCTGCGGATCTGCAGATAGAAAGTTGAGAAACAATTAAAAGAAATGCTGGCCCGTGTGCGGCTTTTCTCCAAAGCTCTCCTGTTGTTGCTGTTTTTCTCTCTCTCTCTCTAAGATTTTTCTCTTTCCCCGTGGCTTGGCTGGAGGCCAATGGACCCAGCTCTGAGACCTGCTGGAAACACACGCTTTGTGCTTTGCTCATTGATGTGCAAGCAGTGTGATGTGGTCCATTGGACCTGGGTGTCTCCATGCCATAGCCCTTCCCTTCTCCACTCCTCAGCCTCCCAGAGATCTGTTGGCTGGAGATAATAATGGTGGTGCAATGAAAAGACCCCCTGTAATTAAAAAATCTGCTCGCTGTGCACTTGACAGTCTTCAAAGTTGTACAGTTTTGCATGTAGGAATTTGCATGTAAGATCTGCTTATTAACATCACCTTGCTAATATCAGCTGTCACTGCGGGAGGTTACAGTCAGCTCTTCAAACTCTGTTCTTGCTTAACGATGCTTCAGATGTCTTGTAGTTGGATCTGGTGTTGCTCTGTGCCTCAGTTTCCCCTTCTTGTTCACACTCCAAAGCTGTGCCACTCCCCTGATGCTGTGTGATTGCCTGGGAAGCATCTGTGGGATGCACAGAAAGGTTGGTGCATTGGAATTCCCCATCCTCCCTGGTTGTGCCTTTCCCTGTGCTGCTGTGGGCTCTGGCTGTGAGTTTGTGGTGCCTGACGGATGCTTTGGCTCCCCTCTGCCTCTTGCATTGATGCTTGGAGAGGTTCTGGCAGCTCCTGGAAGGAGTAGAAAGGAGGTCGTTGTGCATCAGGGCTTGTCAGAAAAAGATTCCCCCAGTCAGCAGAGGTGCATGCAGAATTCTGAAATGTGCTATTTATTTTTAGTTTGATTTTCGAGCAAAAAATAAAAGCACCTTTCCACCAGGATATCTTCCAGCAGTTCTGCTCGATGCTGAGTGGAGCAGCAGGGAAGAGCTGGAGTCTCCATGCCCATCTCAGATCTTTTTGCAATAGATTTGCAGCCAGGCTCCTCTGACTGGTGGTGAAGGTGGGACTGGGAGCTGTGGAGAGGCTGGGCTCTGCGTTTTGTCCTGTGCTCCCAGTCAGCACCCAGCTCCAAGAAAAGCAACCCAAGAGATAATTGCGGCAGCCACAGGAAACATAGGATGAACAGGTCTTAATTATGGCTTAAATCCCAACTGGGGATGCGTGTATAGTCTTAGTGATGGTCTCCAGGCTGCTGGAGGTGCTGTGTTGGAATAGCAGTGCTGTACTTCACAGGGACTGGGGGGTCACCATCCCTGGGGGTGTTCCATTACTGGAGATGTGGGCAGTGGGCATGGTGGGACGAGGTGGGGTTGGGGATCTGAGAGGTCTTGTCCAACCTGAACGATTCTGTTCTGTGAAGGTGCTGCATCTGACTTCGTGGTAGCATCAGCTCTAGGGTTGGCTTCCACTTTCCCATCTAGGGTATGGGTTGGGTTGGCAGGAGGGTTTTATCTGGGAGGGGAGGAGGTGGAGGCAGGATGCCATCTCCCACCCGGTGCTGTCCAACCTAGGAAGCCATTGCTGCTGCAGCTCACCCTATGCTGCCTGGCATCCCATTAGCAAATAAATTTGTTATTTTCAGGACAACGCAGCCAGTTAATGTGATGTGCACATCACCAAACCCCAAACGTGCTGCATGCGGAATCGGGCGAGTTGTGGTGATGAATGTCATGCAAAACTCCAAGGCACTAATTGAAGGTGGTTTCAACAGAATATTCAATTAATGCTCTCTGCGTCGCAGACAGTCTGGAAAAGGCGCTGTTTTCTCCCGAGGATCTGTGTTACTGTGCAACAAACAGATGAAAATGAACCGTTTTACGGCCTCCTAATTGAAAGTCGATGCACCAGTTTTATTAAAATTTTCATGGTGGGGGGAACTGGATGCCTCAGGGGTTTGGTAATGGGATGAGCGAGCTGCCTCGCATCCAGCCGCAGGCAGGAGCAGCTGGGAGCAAAGGGCTGAGCCATCCCTGGTGGCACGTGTGGTGGTAGCAGGTGGCCCTGCAGTGCTGGGAAGCCTGCATAGAGCAAAGCGTGTTTGTCAATAAACCCTTCCTCCCTGCCTGTCCCCTCTTGGGATGCGCTGTCCTTTCAGATGGGAGCCAGAAAAATGAACTGCGACTTCACAAAAATCAGCATGTTTGCTGGCTGATGTATTGAAGCTGTTGGCTGGGGCCTTCCCTCGCATTGGTGTACGAGTGCTAATTTATGCTCTTGCATCTGATGATGATTTAGCTGTTTGAAAGCGTTATTTACGATGTGTTCCTATACCCATTTCGCCATGATGATAGCGTTTTGATAATGGGAATTTACAGTCCTCTCTGACAAGAGGCTGTAAACCAACCGGCTGGATATGTTTTTGTATTCCTACAGGCCTAATTTGTAACATAAAGCACTTAATAATTGTTATTAATGAACCTGCTGTGGTCAGTCTATGGACCCAGCTGGAAATCACATCTGCTATCGGATTTGCAGTGAATTCCTGCAGGTGGAAGGAGCACTGCTGGAGCAGGACGGGTTTGGGGACTGCATGGGAACTGCAGAATCACAGCCTGAACCTCTGATTGATCACCTGGGCTGAGCAATGAGTCAGCCATGGGAGCACAGGTGAAGGCAATTCACCTGTGCTGCTGGAAGGGGTGGAGCCTGGCTGCACCTCTCTTAGATCCCATTTAAGGGCTGACTGCCAGTGGGGAAGGTTTTCTTTCTGGAGATCCCTCCTTGGAGTTTTGCAGTGAGCCTAGGATAAGGGTAAGCACTCTATCTGTTCTCTTTTGGTATGATAACCTGCTTAGCCAAGTTCTTGTTTATTTCATGATTATCACATCTGTATTCATTGATTATACAGGGAGGTTTGTGGCCAATGTTGGGTTCTGCCACCCCATGCTGTTATGG